AGTCGCTGTTAGAACGCACGCGTCCGCAGTGTTCAATTAAGAAAATGGCTTTTTTGCCATTTATCAACAGAACTATCACGTTGCAATCTATGGTTCCTTGGAAAAGTTTCACCTAGAGTGACGTTTCACCTAGAAAATAATATAATAAAAAGAATTTTTCACCTTGAAATTCAACGTCAATGTTGCGACAGATTCCTCCTCGCGTGTCCACGTTCTTATTAAACACGCTGTACTACTGTAATATGGTACAAGAAATACGTACGCAGATACAGCATTGAACAATCGGCAGATCAATCGGAGTGAGCCTGCTTGAACGCTTTATTTGACATCAGAGGAGCTCGTTACATTTATTCGCACGCGTCCCTGCCTCGGCAATTCGATAAATACTCTCTCGACGGGACCCTTGCCCCTCGTGCTTTCAGATTCGCTGACGTGCAGGCAAGTGTTGAACATCATGGTGATACTTGGTTTCATGCTAAACTATATGCTGCGCGTCAACATGACGATCGCCATAGTGTCGATGGTGATGCCGAGCAACGATACTTCGGTACACTCGGACAGTAGCGACACGAGCGAGTGCTTCGATCGTCAAATCGAGGCAAACGTTACCTCGTTCGACGACGATGGATCAACGAGCAAGGTCGACCCCGATCCTGCTGCAACCTCCTCGTCCCTTTATCCGGTGCGTGCAACGCACGTACGTTCGCTCTTACGTTTTTATTCGTCACTGGCCTCTTCTCGAAATTCGAGGTCTCCGTTCTCCTTCTCAGGAAGAGACCAATTGGACAAAGTACCCGTGGAACGAGTATCAGATCAATCTGGTGTTGGGTAGCTTCTTTTGGGGCTACGTGTGCACCGAGTTACCAGGTGGACGCCTCGCTGAGGTAGTCGGGCCTAAAAGGGTGTTTGGGTACAGCATGTTGGTGTCCAGCGCGATCACCTTCTTAACGCCTCTGTCGGCCACCTACGGCTACGTCGCCGTCGTTCTTTTGAGAACGCTACTCGGATTCATGCTGGTGGGTTTTCCTTTCGCTGTTCCAACACCTCTGTTGGACCACGACGATCTCGCGTCAGTCGTCAGGTCGTCGAGTCTAATCGATTTCGTGCGTGTACGCTGCAGGGAGCTACCTGGCCAGCCATCCAGCCAATGACCGCCCGGTGGATACCACCGACCGAACGTAGCAAATTCGTTTCCAACATGATGGGTACGTATCGTGTTTTGCGTGGACAATGTATCCAGTTTGGTATTCGGTGGTAACCGATTCCGAGCAAGTAATCATCGCTGTATTGTTCCTCGCTGTTCGTTGTAGCCTCGTCGCTCGGCGCAGCGATAACGATGCCGGTTTGTGGATTTCTAATCGCTTACCTCGGATGGGAATCAGTGTTCTACGTGACCGGGACGATAGGCCTCGCCTGGAGCGTGGCTTGGTTTCTTTTAATATTCGACTCCCCTGGTCAACATCCGAGGATCACGATCGAAGAGCGCCGATACATCGAGGACTCGATCGGTTCTACCTCTACGACCAAGGTACAACCTCGAAACTCGTACCTGTGTTCTACGTACATGCAAGCGTCGGTCTCTCTCTCTCTCTCTCTCTCTCTCT